AAAAAAAAAAAAAAAAAATCTGAGCCCACCACAAGCCCCTTCCTTCCTCTGCATTTTTATGCTCTTTGTGATGCATTTCTCTATGGCTATGTCTTACAGATCACCCTCCATCTTCTCTGGCTCTGCTCTGAGGACAGAATGATGTTGTGTTGGGTACTAATATTGCCGTTTGTTGGATTTCTTAAAGCGCAAGGTAAGTTGCAAATATCTTGATAGTTGTTATATGACGAAGGGTATGAAATGCAGTCTGTATAAGCATTATTTTTCTGTCCAATCTGTTGTTCTATCATCAGAAAACCCTGTGGTAATTTACGCACAAGTAGGAGGGACCGTTACCCTACAGAGATACAGGGTAGAAGGAAATGCAGATAATGTTTATGTGAACTGGTACCGCGGGTCAGACACAATCCCAACTATCATGAAGAATCCTCAGAGTGGGATCCAAAAGGGTGAGATACATGTTTTTCAGTTCATGCATTTTCACTCTACAGTAATAATCAGGCTTTCATGTTTGTTATAACTGGACATGTATGTTTGTCTTTTTTAGCGAGAGAAATGAAGACACACGCTGATCTGTTGTCGGATTTCTCTCTCCAAATCTCACCAGTACAGCATTCTGATTTTGAAATTTGGCGCTGTGTACAACATGTATTATTAGCTACAACAGTAAATACCTACAAACTGTACCATGGTAAGAGAGAGTGTATGTTTGAGAAACAAAAAGTAGAAAAAAGACTTATTTAGTCACATCATCTCTTAAAGGGATAGTTCACACAAAAATCTGTCACCCTCCTGTCTCTTTCTTCTGCGGAGCACAAAAGAATATATTTTGAAGAATGTTTTGAACGGTTTTTGTATATACAGTGAACGTCACTGTGGTCCAAAACCAGCATTGGACCCCATGGACTTTCATTGTATGGGGGAAAAAAAGAGGGAAAAAAAGAGTAGAAGAAGTGTAGTTTGAGTAAATGATAAGATAATAAAGTGCTCTCATTTAATTTCCCAAAAGTACAGGTGAGAAATCTAATTTGTATTTATAATACGTTTTTCAAATGTGAGGAAATGAAACTACGCACACTGTTGAGCTCGTTTCAGGATGTGAACACAGAAGGAAATTTCCCCCTTTGTCATTCAGCTGAACTGCAAATAAATAAATAATAAATAAATAATGCATGACAACTTAATCTATTAATTTAAACTAATCATATATCTCCATATTACACACATGAAGGCAATTAATTAATCAATCATATGTAATAGGACCACTAGAATTATATAAACCTAAATTCTGCACAGCATATTTGGCAGTATGAACAGGAATACTCTAGTTACACACACACTCTTCATAATCAGTTACACACACAAACTTTGACATTATTGATATTTTGTAGTGTAGGCTATAACTTTAAGATTCCTCTAACGTTGTCGTATTACACCTTTCAACATTTTTCTTCTCTGTTTCAGTCACTATCCCCAAAGTGCCGGCTGTGATGGCTGGTGACATTCTGTCTCTGGAATGTAAAGTGGACTCTAGTCCATTTAAACCCAAAGTAACATGGATTCCACCTCAAAACTCAGATTGTAATCAAATAAATCATTACGGCGAGAAAACTGAAGTCAGAGGTGTGTCTAGGTGTAATAGTGGTGTTTGGACATGCAAGTTGGAGTATGATGGGAGAAAAACTGAAGCAACAACAACTGTTTTTATAATAGGTGAGACTATTGTGTTATTAAACTCTCTCTCTCTCTCTCCCCCAATGTATCTATCTATTTACTTGAGTTTGCTCATTCTCAAAACAATAAAGAATATAGGTCTACAATACACAAGAAACAATGAAATAAAAACAGAAAAAGGAATGTAGTGGATTAATGAGAGAGAGCACTGATAAAACCTTTTTTAATCTCATAACCCCAGCCTAAATATAAATATATAATATGCTAATATTATATTGAAGAGGTGTTAGTGAGGACAGCAGGGGGTGCTCACCCTGTGGTC